CTATATTTCTCCATCAAACCTCTTAATAAATGTCTGGCTTCCATAGTAGACCTACCCGGCATGAATCCAATTTGATTTTGAGAATTAGTAACACGCTGCAACCTACGCTCAAATTTGATTGCAAACACTAATTCAAAATCTTGACCACAGATTTTTGAGTTCATCAACATGATTTGATGTAAACATAGATTCAATTTCAAAAACATTAAATTTAGATTCAGGTTGCAAATACAAAACATATTCTAGTCCAATACATCCTCAAAATAATATTCATTAATCAATATTTCTTCAATTGCATAAGCTTCTACCATAAATCAGTGTTTCCTCAATTGCATAAGTTTCAACCATACATTACTCCGACATTAGTTTATTTTCCATAGACCATAGATGAGATTTTACTTGATTTCCTTAAGAAATCGACACAAGTGCAACCATCCTATCAGAAAAGTGATAGTAATATTCCTCAATATCCAAAGCTATACAAAAAGCCAGTGAAATATAGCTTTGTTCATACTTAACCTATCCCTTAAGACATATAACGATATAATGAAAAATGATAAAATGATTTAAAAATAAGTAATGGTTAGCAACAAAACTAGTAAAGCTTGCATAATACTCAAACATACCATATTTGCCTTGTTTACAAATCTTAATTGATCATGTGATCACTTAGAAGCAGAATTTCATCAAAAAAATTGAGCATATTCAACTCTTCAGAAATCAAACATATTATATTTTGCAAATAGATCTTCCAAACATCAACCAACCTTGAAAATTTTCTACAGCAATACCACCCATTGAATATAAGAATGTAATTTTACACCTCACAATCGCTTTGTTGTTAATAACTAGAAACATATTTTACTCTACCCAGTTTGAATAACATAAAAATTTCTGTAGACAAAATTAGATCAAGGAAAGAAGTTACCAAAGTAAGAAAACTAAGTTTCACACTGGTACAAGGAAATGGTTTTCCCAATAACAAAATTCTCATGCATATGCCACACTCAAAAGAATCACATATTCAAATTAAACACACTAGATTAAAAGAGGACAAAAAAAAATTAAATTCAATCAAAGATGATAATTCCTTTGCCTGAAATCATCCATTTATAGACTCTTCATTCCTAAATTAGTAGAAATGATTGGAAGAAGATCAGCTTATAGAGAAAAAAATAAGCATCAAGTTTGCATTTAAACATTATCCAAAAATAAAAAATTTAAAACAATCGCACGAAGCAATCCCACAGGAATAGAAGTCACTCACGCCAGATGAAAAACCAGTGAAACAGAAATCCCCAAAATAACTACAACCAGTTGTACTAATAGAAACAAAATCTACCGCTGTTCTCCACCACAAGTCCTCAGGATTCGTAACAAAGGTCAAAAAATCAGCACCCACAACAAACAAAGAGTATAAAGTCAAGCAACAAACAAACAAGAAGTGGCATGTTAAACTCTAAACAGCAGCAAGAAAGACATGCAAGGCAGTATACTACATTACCAAAGAACATATCGTCCACAGTGCTGCATCATCTAGCGGTTAACTAAACACAAATTTTCTGGAATAAAAAAATTTTCAAAGCCTTAATAGTAAACATTATAATAATCCAATGCATTCCTTGTGTCCATTTCTTTATATATATTTTTCATTTTCATATGAATTAATTTGGTCATTTCTTCCTAAATTCAGCCTTTAATTAATTTCCAGTGCATAAATCTCAACACATAATAACATCCACATATTAGACAGCAACAACGTATGTTAATAGGACCCATCAATTTTTAGCCTCAATGTCTAGGTGTCACTTCAATAGAAAATTTTAGAACGATACAGTAAGTTTTTTTTTTTTTTTTAATTCTCGAATTAACCATTTTAAAAATAAGTCATCTGTATACAAGATTCATCCCCTGAAATGAACACAAACATTTCTAAGCCGCTAAAAAGGAAATAGCTGGACAATGTTTTCTACAATACCACGCATATATCACCTAATGGGAGGATCAAAAATCCTCCCTAGGTCGACAAAGCAACGGAATATTTGCTCTAAAGCAAACCTCGCAATCTGTAACGATAAAGATCAAACCTTACTCCTTGATGGCTATGACCTCATTCACTAGCTAATCAAGTTTTTTTTTTTTTTCTCCAACAGCTTAATGCCCCTTTTCATGCTTTTCTCCCTTGTTATATTTCCATAAAATGAACCTTTCAGCAAAAGAACACCTCGGAATGCAAGGAAAACAGTCCAAACTGTCAGTTATAAAATTTCAATCCAATATAGTGCATCCAGATTCATGGGCCAAACAACCTATGGATTGATGGGATGGTCATGTGTAACATTGGGCAGACAACATTTATTCACCATTAACTAAGACTAGACCTTTTTAGGTGCATGAGCTGGGCTAGGTAGCAAGAGCCTTTGAAGCATTCAATCAATTAAAATATTACTCCACTGTCCTTTAAAGAGTAACAATAAAGAGCAATGAGAAAAACCTATAATAACATATGAAAAGATAGATATTAAAATTGATACACCATTTGTCCTTCGTCACAGGACAAAAAATTGAGCTTAAACAGCATCCCCAAAAGCTAAGCTACTTTCTCACATGATATATAGACTGCCTTCAATGTGTAAAAATAAGTTTACTATTATGGATGGCTCATTATTACATGTCCAATATGTAGATTTAAGTGAACATTAAAAGACAATGAGCTCGAATAGATACTGCGGTCTTTGTATATTTGACAAAATAAAATTTACATTCATTAAACATATATTTGACAGTAGTGATTTTACTGGACATATATATTAAACTTGACCAGAAATAACCGGAAGATTTGAATAAATATCACGTTCCTGAGTAAAATGGGTCTATATTTTTAAATCAGTGCGCTCTTCACGATTGTTGTCATACACATCACAGTAAGCACAGCAACGTCTCAACTATCTAAGTAGATGAAATATACAATCATTAATATTAAAAAATACAGGAGGGCAAGGTAGAGCAATATGTAGGAAATAAACATAGAATAGGCCTTGTTAAACCCAGAGGGCTAGTTTAATTTATCAGTCAAATCAGTTTGACTTGGACAATGCTAATTTGGTTCCGTATTTCTTGGGTTATTGCTACAATTGCCGTAACTCAGGGTGTATTAACTGAATGGAAAAACAAGTGCAAACCAATAAGTACAAGGTAATGCTAGCCAACACATGCAGATCAGCGGGCAATGCATCCAAAAAAGCAAAATATTTTGTGGTTGTTGGGATTATGCCTGAAATATCAAGGTGCTAAACTAAGCAACTTACGAGCAAAAAAATTGTGTGTGTGTGTGTGTGTATATATATATATATATATATATATATATATATATGTATAACATCAACTTCGTCATCATCATCACTAGCATTATCAACTATTTGGCATCATCTTTATAAAGAAATCAGACCTAGATACATATATCTGCTAAAAATAACTCTATATTATTAAAATTTGAATTTCTAATCATCAGGAAAATTCAAATAAAAACATCCATTTTCAAACTCAAACGAACTGTAGAAATAGCAATAATTAAAAGCAGAACATACCTTATGGAACCTAGTGATAGACTATAAAAACAAGAACAAACGAGTCAACTAAGACTAAAACTATCAACTAAAACTGTTAAAACTTTAGCAAAGAGAACCAAAACCTAAAAAATTTGTGGCTTTGACTGTTGGCAAAGACCACCAAAACATGCACTCACATTATTGTAGAAACGCTTGTTTCATGACAATACATAATTGTAAGAAATGTTAAGAGTTGAATGAAAAATTCATTGGTTAAATGCCATTACAAGACTAGCAGTTTTTAGTTAATAATGTGGAATAAGGGATCAAAGATGAATGTACCAAAAGAAATAAGGGGAAAACAGAAATTGAAGAATGATAAAGATTGGAGGCATATACGCACCAAAGTTATACACTTATACATCATCTCATACAATCCTAGAAAAAAGGGGCATATGGTGACAAAAGGGAGAGAGTGGTAAAAGTGAATCAAAAGGATACAAAGCTCAAGTATTCGCTTTTCAGTGACAAGCAATCATTCCATATAGAGCACTAGGCTGAACTACTTAACTTGAGTGCATAATGGCCTGGACTTCTTCAGTCGTATGCTCACAAACTTCACATTAATATCAACTTTCCCCAAGTGTTTGCCGGTCCAAAGATTTCACAAAGATTATTCAAATGATACAAGAGAAAAATTAAACTTCAAAATGCAAAAGACAGAGACCGCACAACATATTGATGCAAACATAAAATAGATAAATTTCAAATAACTAAGAATTATTTAATAAATAATAAATGAAACAAAGGCTATTTCTTACAAATGACATTTATTTGTATAATTTATTGTAGATGTTCTGGCACTCAGATGTAAATAAAACTCCAGTAAGACATAATTAATACTGAAAAACACTTTCTAGCAAAGGAATGTTTTTGCACTGCATGCATAAAAGGAAGCAGCAGCCGAATTGAAATTAAGGCCTCTACGAACTCAGGACAGGAAAAATAACAACCAAAATACTGCAACATACATGATGATCTACAATAAAAATATCAATTATGTTAGATAATCATTGCATTCCAATTTCAGCATAAAGTTGTTGGGGATTATCACTAAGAAACCATAATAAAACAGAATTAATCAAGTTTTCATATGATAACAATGTATTATAACACTTATATATACCAAATATAACGAGCTTGAAAATAAAGATCACATGCTCTTAATAGTAAACTCAATAACTTAAGAATAATTTATTGTCCAAATCCAACATCCTAGCTCATTATATCATGCCTTCAACAACAACAACAACATCAAGCCTTTGTCCCACTACATGGGGGTCTACTTCAATACTAAAATTTTATGTTTGCAATGTATTCAATGAATCAAAATTCATTCATAACTTAATGCAAAATCTCATTAAAAAGTAAACATGGAATAGACCAGCTTACCCTATTGAAACCAGCTATCACAGATATATGAACCCAGCCTTGTTCATCCATACAGTTCCGCAAATAAGTGTCTTTACACAAGTTTTCAGGGCTGCATCAATGACAGTAGAGATTTGGTGAATTTTCATCGGTAATGGTCGCATACATTAAATCAAGCAAATTCACACCTGAAGTAGTAATCAATTTGTTTTAGTAACATTGCACGCTGGGGATCAGGAGCATGAAAAAACATCACAGGTGGAGCTGGAACTGGAGCTGGATGAGGAGCAAACGGTAAACCCCTCAGGGTCTCAGGATGTGGAGGGGCCGGAACATAATAAATGGCAGATGGCATATCTGTTCACCAGATCAAAGCCTAACAGTTAAAAATAAGATGATAAAATAGAATCCAGCGCTGGTTTAATGGATTTGTGAATTACCATGAAATCCCATATTGTGGCTGAAAGGCCTAGGAGGTGGAGGCGGAGCAATTAACTGAGCTGCAACCGGTGGAGGCCTTGAGTATGGCCGAACACCCCACTGAGGATGCAGCTGTGGCACGTGAGCGTCTCTAACAAAATTTCGATGATTCCACTCGTAGCCCCCACGTTCAGGATCCCGCCTATTACCATAGCTGTTATGCTGACCATTATTCCCCCTCCTGCCACCACCATAGCCGCGGTGATAATCATTACCTCCGTGGGTTTGGTGTGAAACTCCAGAAGCCCTCGAGGAATTATCCCAATTGTGATTGTTGTTGCTGCTGTTCTTATTTGTAAGTCCTTTGGGAGAAGGTTGCCTGTCTGGCAATGGCTGGCTTATCTGTGATAAGGCTGGTAAAGGAGATGGCGTTGCCACTCCACCATTAGGCAATCCACCACTTCCACTGCTAGTATCAAAAACAGCATTTGTAGCGACATGCTTCATGGTTTTATGGCGGGCAGAAGATGAGGGGCTTGAAGCTAGACGAGGGTTTGGGGTACTCGAAGCAGGCTTCGAGATTGGAGAGCAAGACCCCTGGTACAAAACAAAAAACATAGTCCCAACTTGTTTGTATAAATTAAACGAAATTTCGAGATCTCACCAAATGAACAGATATTGATGAATCAGAGAGGCCCTTCAGGGAATCAGAAGATGAAGATTTCGGAGAAGCCCTAGCGGACTCGGAGAGCGCGGGCCAGTAGGCCGCGTCCATGACGGCTCCCCCTTCACTCGAGCCATTAGATGGCACGTTCCAGACAGTCTTCTTACCCCGGGAGGCGGCGGCGGCGGCATTGCCGTCGATGGCATGATCGGGGCTCTCAGAAGGAGGCGGCGAATGCGATTCGGGAGGTGACTTCTGCAAGGATCGTTCCGATGAATCACGCGAAGGAATCGGGTCCGCCAACGGCGCTGAAGGAGAGGCGGCGGCGATATGCGACCAGGAAGCAGACAGATTGCGGGATGGCCGAGAGGTGCCAAGGGAGGAGGTAGGATCCACAGCGGAGGCCATCGGCAAGCTAGGGTTAGGGTTTTCAATCGGAGGTGGCGGCGGACTCCGGATGACGGGATCAAGGTTTGATACGGCGGTCCAAGTAGGTCAAGCTTAGTCACCGATACATTTTTCCAAAAATGATCCGAAGAACCGAGCACGGTGTGAGCGAGAGCGGCGCTCACTCTCTCTGCCCTTTCTCCACTCTATATTTGGCGCGGTTGCTCCGTTCCTGTTGCCCACGCTTGGGAGAGCTCCTGCAAAGCGCGTCCGTCTCTAATTTTTATACGACGAATGTGGGCTTGCATGTGTTCGTTTGTGTATTACACTTCTGCCCCTCAAATCCAAGCCCTAATTTCTCGCCTTGCGTAATTGTTTAATTACATTCTCTTTTTTTAATAAATAATCAATAATATATATATATATATATATATATATATATATATCAAATATTTTAGGGAAATGTAATACCTAATAAAATGAATCAAATAAAATATATTAGTATTGGTTTTGTATTTTTCTTTGATTTAAAAAAATAATTTGTCACAATTTCTTTAAGTATAGCATAGATTATTTTAAATTTAATTATTTTAATGAAGATTGTTCTATGTTTGAGAGTTATTTTGATTTATGTGAAATTAAAGTTTCTATGTTAATTAAGAGAGCTAATAAGCCTTCTATCATGTTCATTTATCTAAAGTTTTTAATAAATGTTGGATATTGATCAAATTGATTTGATGTTAGAGAATATCTTTTAAAGCAAGATCGCTCTTCCTGCAGCTCGTCTTGATCTGTTGGTTAAAAACTTTGACTAGAAACCAAAATGTTTTGGATTCGAGACGTATGTGAATCTGACTTAATTGACTAAAATGTCCAAAAAACACAAGATATATTTAGCTAGTTTCACAAATAAGATCATTTTTTCTCTTCACAAAAAAAAAAATCATCTTTGAGATTTCATAAAAATCTTAAATCATTTCATCATAATCATTTTTCTTAATCATCCCAATAAACCTTTATTAAAGGAAAATATATTCTTGATTGTATTATCATACATCTGGCCAAGGGTAGATCCAGCATGGGGGCCTGGGAGTAGGGCTGTCAAAACCGAGTCACGGGTCGGGTTCGGGTCCAACTTGAAATTGACCCGACACTATTCAACCCGACCCGAACCCGACTTGTTTTTGCAAACGGGTCGGTTTTCCGAACTCGAGCCCGACCCGCTTCGGGTCCGGGTCAACCCGAACCCGACCCAATTCGGGTATATTTTATTAATTCTTTTATTTAATTCAATTTATTTAAATCTAAATCAAATTAAGGTAAGATTTACTTCAATTAATTTAAAATAAATCAAGATTAATTTAATTTGAGCAATAATGTTTATAATTTTTTTGAAATATCATTTACTTATTTCATAAAAATCCATTAAAATCCTCCTAAATTAATAAAAAAATGGGTCAAATCGAGTTGATTTAAAGTTTCCGGGTCAACCCAAACTCGACCCGGTTCTACAAACAGGTCAAAATCCCTAACCCGAAACTTTTAGATCGGGTTTTCAGGTCGGGTCAAATATTGACATCCCTACCTAGGAGCACGGCCCACCACTCCCATTAAATTTTCGGATTAAGAAATCAAATATATTATATTTATATAATTTCTCTAAACTTATTTTAACCTAAGCACCTTGCCTCGCCTTCACCGACGCTTATAATGTATGCTGCCTGTAGGCTGCAGGTCTCTCTTTCTCCACCCCACTTTCTATAGAAATTCTAATTATTGGCATCAAACATTCTAGCTTTACAACAATAATACAAAAATTTATGTTGAAACTTGCGAGCTTGAATTTATTTGTGTGTGAAAAGATTGGTGAAGCAAATTGATATTGGTGGAGAATTCTATAGAAGCTTTATGATTATAAATGCATAATTTAATTGCTCCTTTTAAAGCAAATTTATATTGGTGGACAATTCCAAGCAGAAAGACTGACCAGCAATAATTAAAATTAAGCCATGCATTAATTTTCATATTTTATATAATCTAAGTTAAAATATATAGCTATTGATTTTCATATATTTTTTTTCATAGGATATTTATTGAAAAATGAAACAAATAAATTTGATCAACGTCAAGTAAGATTTTATTATCTAAATAAGATAAAGTCAAATAATTTAGTATTAATTTTTCTTTTATTTCGAAGGTGAATTTTGAGAGGGCTTTGAACTACTAATATCAAGATTTTATATTTAATAATCTTAAGGGAGACATTTTTATTCGATATAAAGCTCGTAAATAAGCTCATTAAAAATTTGATTAATATTTGATTATAAAAAATGATGAACATACCTAATATAGATATTTAATATTATAATAATTTAATGAAACTATGATTATTATTAATAAAATTTAATATTAAGTAAATAAATTAGTATATATTAATTAAAATAAATTATAAATAATCATTAAATCAATATTATATACAATTTAATTACAATAGCTTTTTTATTACATTATTTAGATATGTTTTACAGGCTCGTTTGATAGCTCAAAAACTCTCACTAGATACATTTGTGAATGGACATATTTGATAGTTTGATTTAAAAAAAAAAATTGATAGTTTGAGAACCGTTGCCACATGTTCACGAACAAACTCATTTGTTAGCTTGAAAACACTTACCAAATATGTTCGTGACGAGCTCAACTGATAGTTTGAAAATGCTTGCTAGAAATATTCATGAGTAGGCTTGATGTAATTGTTTGTTAGTAGGCTTGATAAGACTTGTTTGTTAAGCTAAGGAATATTTTAAAGTAGAGCTCTTTAATAGCTTGATAAATATTATTTATTTAAATCTCAATAAGCTCAAAACAAATTGAATATGAACCAAATATGAACATTTGTTATCTTGAAATACTAATTCCTTCCAAATCTAAAGCACTGCTAAAACAGATTTGAACTCCTATTATTGATAAAATTCAGAGAAGGCTTAGCTTCCAAACAAGAAAAAAATGGCGAATTCTCTTTTAAAGATGAAAGGCATATTCTAATTAACTCAATATTATATTTTATTTCACTTAACTACTCTTTTATCTATTACAAATTGGGTCATCAATAAAATTGACAACATAGTAAGTTTCATGTGGAAATAATGTTAAAAATAGAGGCTTCTGCTTGGTCAACTGGAAGAACATATAAAAACCAAAAAAAAAAAAAAAAAAATTTCATGGATTCGATGTCAAAGATCTACATGCAATGAATGTATCTCTCCTTCTATTTAAAGGGAATCAAATCCCTGATGTCATTCAAAGCCACTATTTAAATAATTCTTCGCCAATCGCCAACAAATTTAAGATGGATAAAGGTATGTGATTCACATTTTATTAAGATCACCTTTAAACGAACTCCATACCACCGTATGTCGTCCGTCATTTGCTCCATTCGAACTCCAAATCGCAATGCAAATGCAGGTAGGTGAACAGTGCAACGTCAATATTGGCATCGGACTGTTCACCCATGCCAAAAAAATTTGCCGCAGGATTTGCCAAAGAAGGGAGCAAAAGAGGAGAAAAGCGTGTCAAAGATGGTTACCTTCGCAGAAAGTGCACGAAAGAAGAAGAAATGACATTTGATTGGAGAAGAATGACTGCATTTTGAAAATTTACTGCATTTTGGAGTGGAAAATGGGCTTTTCGGTTGGAGATATCATAAGGCTGTCAAAAAACTTTCTTTATCTTTCTTTCATCTCATCATTAAGAATACCAATAATTTTGAAAAAAAAAAAAACAAAAAAAATTGATAAGATGTTTGTCTCCATAACTTGCCTTTAACTGAGCTTCATCCAATATTTTTAAGTTGGCTTGGTATCCTAACCACTTACCAAAAAAATTATTTTGTTCTGATCTTGGTTGTCATTTCCACTATAAAGGGATTACTTATTTTCTTAAAAAAAAAAAAAAATTTAGATATAAAAAAAAATCACTACCCGCATTAGCCAAAAAATTTTCTTAATCTCAGCATAGTTTTTTCATAATTTTCATTAGAATGGCCCTTTTGATCTGAAATTGCAATGAAAGCAAACTATGAACTTTATTTCCAAAATTTTAGCATTACATTCTCTTCAAATATATTAGACAAGGAAGCTACTAGCAAGGCAGTGAGCATTAACAATCTCAGAATTTCTATTAAGAGTCATCAATGAAATCCAGAGCATGTGTAATGTTCAGATGCAACAGAAGAACATAAAAGATAGACATGGGCGGAACCCAATAGGTTCCAGGGGGGGCAGTTGCCCCCCCTCAAAAATTTTTTAAAATTTTTTTATATGATTTTTTTAGGTAATTTACCCCTTTTTATTCATTTTTTAGTTTTTATTACAAGGGTTTTCATGCAATTGCCCCCCCTAAAAATTTTAAAATACTATGGTCTTTAGGTAATTGCCCCCAACAGGTCGAACCTCGCCAGAAGACACTGCCCCTTGGACCCCGACATATATGTCTTATAAGTTTGCCCCCCCCTGAAAATTAGGGCTGGTTCCGCCCCTCATAGAGGCGGGGGAGAAGTCCAAATAGAAAAACTTCCATTGGGGGCCTGCGGTCCAATAGCTAAGGCTAGGGTCGGTATTCAACTTCCTCGCTCCTTTCCTTCCTAGGTGAAAGAAAGACAAACTCTTTTACGACAAGTTGATATTCGATTTAGTCGATTCAGGGGTCATGGGCAGAAGTTCCTCTACTTTTCTTTACAGGGAGAATGCTACTTAGGAGATTGTAAAAAAAGTTGCATTCAAAGAACGAGAGAAGATGCAAATTGTGCTTACAAAAATGTTCCTATAGAGAAGTGCATCTGCATTTTTTAGACCAGTAATATTTCTAATCTTATATATTGAATTAGACAAAAGAAGATTGAGTACAAACATTGACTCTACAAATATCTTTCTTATATTTTACAAATGTCAACCCTTATCTTGTATTTGCCATTTGGAATCAGCTCTCTTCCTGTGATTTATACTATGTCTTCCTCTTAACTCTTTGGAAAAAAAAATGTAAATATTTTTCAAATATTGTGGAGGAAGATTATAAACAAAATCATGTTCAACACTATATCTCAAGCCTACCTTTGAATGGTAAACACTCAAAGAACAAGATAAAAACTCTTTTTTTTTTTCAAATCATTATTGATTTCACAAATAAGAATTTGAATAATCTATCAAAATTATGGAATAGATGAGTTTTTTTTCGTACTCTATAGAGGATCTGCTCCACCAAAGAGTATTGATGCACATCTAATAAGTCCTGGTTAGGAGAAATTATTATGTGCGGACATCGAACCGTTCGGAGAAAAATGAGAACGCGCTACATCACCCGGTATATAATATCAATACACAGTAAAAAAATGATGTGACACACTCTCATTCATCTCCGAACGCCGTCTGGTATCCGCACAGAATAATTAATCTTGACACTCAATAGAAAAAATGCAAAATAAATTGAGTGAGAATATTATGACAAATTTAGTAATTTAAAAAAATATTGAATTTCTTTTAAAAAATGTAAATTTCAAAATTTATTTTAACATGAATTTAATGTAAAAAATAATTAATTATTCATATACAATATTTATTTTAATTATTTTTTTAAATTAAATTCATGTTTAAATAAAATTTGAATTTTACATTTTAAATTCATGTTAAAATATTATTCCAGTCACAGGCTCCTAGCAAGCTTGCCGTTAGAGACAATCATCAATTATGAAATGCCAAAATGATCTAACCTTACCAAAATTAAAAAAAAATAAAATAAAATTCTTGCACATAAAGCTTAAATTTCGTGTGGCATAACTTTCTTACTGCTTTATGAAGCAATTTTTTAATAATTTTTTTTTTACTAGAAACTGCTTCGTAAAATAATAAGAAAGTTGTACCAAACGAAACCTTAAACTATGAAATTACCAACCAAGTTGCAGCATAATAATATTGTAATTCATGAATTGGCTATGAAAGATTATAATGTCATTATATACATTCAGATACCAGTAAAAAAAAGTTCAATTATTCTATGCATGGCATCACTGCTAGAAAGAAATATTACATCTTTATCCTAAATTGGCAGGGTACAGACCCTCTCTTAATTCTGCTGAGCGTTTTGGAAAATTTGAAGCAGAATGAAGAAGTTGTATAAAAAGCAGGCTGCATGCCAATATATGAAGCTTAGGCAGGTACTGGCTTAAAGAGACTGGAGTGTTAATGAACACCTGGAAGGGCACATCGCTGTAAGAGAAAGGTAGAGAAGGAGAAAAGGAACACTCTTACTGTATCATATAATCTTCATAGGTCATTGTTAGTTTCGGTCATCAACGATACCTCCACTAGTGGGCCTGCAGATTATTAAAGCATAATCAAACTTATTTCAACTATATAATTAAATAATAAATCCATATCTAAGAATATGATGGCAGTTAAAAGTTTGTGGTACAGAGATGAGAGCCATTTTTTTACGAAAAATTATTCTGCGCGGAAGCCGAATCCTGTCCGGATATCTAAGCCCGTGGCTCGGTACCGAGGCTCGGTATCGCTGATGTGACTCATTCTGATTGGTATCTGGATGTATTCCGCATCCGCACAAAATAATCTCTCTTTTTTGACAAAGGTAAAAGCTAGGAATAAGCTTCGCATTCCAGGTGATAATGTGCAACTCTAACTGCGATAGTGAATAACATACAAATCTTAGAACTGATAATGCAGTAGAAAGGGTGGAGTACAATACGTAAAAGGAGTATTTCATGCAAGCACACTTTTTTTAATGCTTTTATATCAGTCCCTGGTACCTTTTAGATGTTCCGGAAAGATTCTGCAGGTAAATTGTAGATAGATATAGAGAGAGCAAGAGAGAAAAAAGTGAGCATTCTGTGGACCTGATTGACTTCCCACCGCATCTCATAATATTTGAATCCTGAGTTAGCGTAAGCATCAAAAAGAGGGACCAAGCTATAAGAGTAGGCAGTGTGTTTGTTTGTGAGAGAGAGGTGGGATGGGAGAGAACATGGAGTTGTATATTGCGAGCAAGGGGAGAGCCTTGGCCGAGGGTTGCAAGAGTTGCGAGCAAGACCAACTGGCAAACTACCTCAAGAAGAAGCATTTGTAGGAGGCACTATAAAAAAATACGGTTATTACAGCACAATTTTTGAGTTATTCCGGCAGTTATAACCGCCACTAAATTCTTCGCAGAGGTTCTAAATCCGCTGTGCTCCCGTTGTAATTAGAATCCGAGCGATTCCAAAGAGAAGGGGTATTAAACGCAAGAGAAAGGGGATCGAGAAGCGAGCGTAGAGATAGGGTTTCAGCTATACCAGCGGTTAGAGCCGGTGGTATTTGCACCGATTAAAACCAGTGCAAATAACAGCGGTCAAAACCCCTGCAAATACCTAGTTTTGATGGTGGTTTTCAAACAGCCTCTAACAAGTGCTGTGAAAAATCATATTTTTTAGTAGTAAGGTGCCAAGAGTGAGCAATAACGGGCTTGAAATTGAAAGAAAGAGGTGATGACTCGGTGGTTTGCTTAGGAAGAAGAAGAGACTAGCATACTCCCTCGGACCTTTCACTCTGCTGGAATGACATCAAATGAGTCAGCCACGAAGAATGTACATGAAGTCATTACTATATTAAATGGGAGTTTTGAGTTTTCTCCTCAAGAATCCCTACTGAATAAGAGTCGGTGATAGGTTACTCTCCTGGCATAGAACTCCTGTAACCCGTCTTTTGAATGAATATGAGAAACTGTTCACAAATAGATGGCATGATCATAAGTTTAATTCTCATGAGAATTTAGTATTATATTAATTTGATCCACAAGGCCATAAAGCTACAAAAGTACAATTTTTGTTTGGGACAGCTTTTTTTACTGCTTCTTAAAACAACTTTCTAGTACAAAAAAATTTAATTTTTTACTAAAAAAGCTGTTTTTAGAAGCAAGGAAAAAAGCTGTCCCAAATGAAGCCTTAATCAAGTGAAAACACAGGAAAATTATTCAGTAGATTGAACAGGAATCTATACTGAGAATGCTTAACTCATAAGAAGAAATACGATTGTTGGGCGTAGAACACTTACAATCCTGTTAGTAACTTGATGGAATCATAGAAGAACCACTGCAAAGTCACAACTGGTCCAACAAGAGCAATCCGAACAGGAAGGCTCCTTGTAAACAGCTTTGGAAACCCAATACTCTTCACTGCCTACAGGAGGAGGGATTTTTGTAGCTGATGTTAATAACCAAACTGAATTGAAGAACACTTTGTAATATATAAAATTAATAGGACATCACCTGCAGCACATTGTGCGCCTTTTTATTGTAAAGCGAGGCAATTATGTTATCTGCTGGAGTTGAAATTATGGTACCAATAGCGCCAGATGTGTAACCAGCTATACATGTAATGCCAAGTTGTTGAGCTCTTGAGCATTCCTCCCTTTTCTTCTGGATTATTTTACGATACAAAAGGTCCACAGAATGCTCAAACGTTGAGAACATGAGCATAGAAACTGCAGAAAATTTATTCTCAGGCAGCTTAGAGGTAAATATTCTTTAACAAAAGACAAATAGGAAAAGAAAAATAATTTTTGCTTGGAAAGAAAGAGAGACTCTTCGACTTGATATGCATTAATTATCATATCAATTATTATAAATTATGACTAGAAATAGGTATAATAAAGTTTAGGAATATAATCATAGTCTATCTTATTAGGACAAAGCTAATTGAGCAAATAATTCAATTATTGTTTTGTATGATACCTGTTTTTTTTTTTCTATATAATTCAATAATTCACATCAGTGTCTTTTTCAAACAATTTCCAGCAATTAGACATAAATGGTAATATAAGATATATGGGAAAGTGCAATTACATGGAAGATTTCGAGCCCAAAGTGGACCAAGCCCCTTGTAAAACCTGCATCAACATTAAATGGCTATTATAATTAAGCATGTAAGCATAAAAGTACTACATGAAACTACATGTAACAGAAATTATATTTTTATCCTTCGGACTAATATATCATCTTTCTTATGCCGTACTCGATCATAAAGTATGCAATCCGTTTGAGGATGACAAAGTTTCTCCAACAAAAACCTACTTTTAGAACCACTAAACAGATTAAGCTTGAATTTGAACAAAGTTGACAAAGAAAGCAGAGCAATTCTAACCCAGATAAGCCTTCATAGGCATAGAGTCTTGGTATGCCATCAAACAAACCTCGTGCAAAATGAGGTTGAGTTTGGACACGAACTTTGACGGCTTCAAAGGGACAAAGAGCAATATCTGCCAATATTTGAGCAGAAGCACTGCTGATGAAGAAGATCATTGTTTGATTATGCACTATCATTAAATCCGTATACATTTTCTTGAAGTATTCATAAAGCCCAAACTTGCAGCCACCTTGAACACCATATCCAAACAATTTTCCAGACCACCCTCTCCATAGGAATGAGAGACCTTGCTCCTTTACTAAAATATTTAAACCTGAAAAGATGCTATTGTACTTCACAGGATTCACCTAGGAGAATCAAACATATTGTCAGTCCAGATTCACAATAGAATACCTTACATAGACTAAATAGCTAACAGAAATAATGAAATCTATTTATCTTCAACCATGAAAATTCTGTGCACGCACGCGGTGTACGTGTGTGTAAGAGAGAGAGAGAGAGAGACTCAAGATGAAGGAAAAAATAAGAAAAAAAAAGGCAAATGGCTTATGTCCAAGCAAAATTATAGAGAGCAAAGTTTGTTGCACTTCGGTTATGAAATAAACGGTGTAACTAGGAATTACCGAATTTCTTCAACGTTAGTTTAAAATCATGACTAAGATTGTAAAGTAATTGAGAGTAAACAGTTATTAGTTATTATCACAACAATTTTATGCTTCTAGTAAAGCAAGAAAGCAAAAGTGACGGGAAAGGATTTAGTGGAATTGAGGAGAACATGCATAAGATTAATTAAAATTAGTAAAACAATTTATAAAATCCAAAAAAAAAAAGAGAAATTATATTGTAGCATAACATGGATAGTGAATAAAAGTGAGTCTGTGCTTTTCATGTAATCATAAACTTGCTTCTATTTTTCAAAACAAATCATAAATGAGTCAAAGATGCTGGTGACCCAAAAAAAGCTAAAAAGAATATATAAAACGGGTATGATAATGACTAATGTGGTAAGAGATCACTAGGCAAGATTTGTGGAACATATGAAAACTAGAGGCTCACCCATGAGAAGAGCCCATCACAGAGACTTACATGCTAGTGTGGACTTAACCTTGGATCACTATAAGTTGTAGTTTTCCCTTGAGGTCGACAATCATTTGGGACAATGAAGAGAAAACATGTGAATTGATGGGTGAATCAATTGTTCGAGCAGTGGAGGCTTGCCTAGAGGAGTTTGTCACTAGAACCAATTGTCACCCTTCTTAAAACAAGTTGAGTTATAATATGTGATGGAATACTTTCTAGTGATCATAGTCATCATGAGTTCCCAATGTCTAAGAGTAATGTGTATGAGTCTATGAGTTAGCTGATTCAGCTTGTATCATACCTAAATGATATATGGGCCTTCGCAAATCAACCCATGCTTATAAAGAGTCATTGACTTATTAATAGCTTCTACCTTTCTATAGATAGGTGCTCTTGAATTTATATATCACAGTAAACATGACTGTCATGGTACTTGTTGACTTGCAGCTTGTTGGATTCAAGTTTTTCTTTTTGAAATTAGTTGAACCCTATTGAGGCCTACTAAGCCCCTAGGGTTGGAGAGAAAGAGAATAAATTTGAGAAAACACTATGCATTCTCTCAAATGAACTAGATATCAAAGAAGCTAGTAACCCTTTACAAGAAAGGGACCCTTTACAAAAAAAAAAAAAAAAAAAATTAAAAAAAAAAAAAAAAAAAAAAACTCTATTGTGGCTGACAACTGACCCCCTATTTATGTATGAGAGCCAAAACAAACTACAATATGAGTTATACAAGACTTAAACCATAACAGCATCTTTTATAACTAATATTGTGTGTAAAACCCTTAAAAAGCTGATTTTTTTAGTGCTGTTAGTCCCAGACGAACTGGCCTTGGTACGGGACGAACTGAAGAAATTGTGAAGAAATCTGTATGTTTCGTCTGTACGAACCTGGAACCGTCGGGACGAACTGAACCCGAGAGCATTGTCCAGGGACGAAACAAATTGGAATTAATTTCGTCTGTACGATCTGTGTCCAGAGGAGTTCATCCCGGGACGATCTGGGTATCGTCCTGGACGATCCTGCTTGATAAGTATCGGATTTGAGATATTTTTTATTCATTTTTCTCTATCGATGTAACTGATCAATTTAATTGAGATTCTTCAGAATATAGATTTTTCTACTGTTTATGGATTCTTCCGAGATTTGACGTATGTACTGATTTATTGAGCTTTATGGATTTCTTCCTACTGTTTATCGATTCTTTTATCGATGATTGTGGATTGTATCGATCATGCATTGATTACTGATTTTCGTACCTGCTACATAGATTCACTGATCATGTGCCATTGACTGTTATGGATTTGATAGATTGACATGCATATTGTTTCAGTACCGTGCTTTGATTTCAGTTGTAGGTATTAGGTGATCTGCTGGGCTTTTTGAAGCTCATTATATGTGGTTAATATTTTCAGGTCAGGGCAAGGAAGCAGGAGATTGAGATTGATCTGGAATCTTCAGGTTTTTGTTCTTTTTTTGTTATAGTGATTCTTTTGTACTCAGGACAGGATAGATTTCATTTCATGTGATCATTATGTAGACCCTGAGTATTGTATATGAACTTTTGGGATATGAATATAATTGTACATTGATGTTTTAAATTATAGAATTTTGTTAGACTGTTTGTTATTGATTGAAGACTATAAATAGCTCTGGTAAATAATTGATGGTTTTAATAGATTGATTGAAATTCTTTCCAAGTTAGATCTTGGGGCGTTACAAATTATTGGTATCAGAGTAATGTTTTTGGAAGAATGGATTGTTACCAGAGTTATAGGATTTGATTGAGAGTTGGGTAGAATGGGTAGCTGTAAGTGCATCATTTTGCATACATA